TWARASKCTATCTATGATTTATTKTCAAYATTTYATTYTTTTCATCYATAAGCATAGAGAAACAGGTTTTTGCTGTACCAAACTTTATCACACCGAGCAAGACTTGTGTTTCTATGGTATCTGACTCACAGATGATGATGTATGTGATTGTGTATTCAAGTGTGGTAACCCGAATTTTTTCTTCTCTTGGCACTTGAATCCAGCTGGTCATTCCTTAAATGACCCCTTGAATGATGATCAGCTGGATTATCAATATATTACTGCTTGGTGATATAAATGGCATATTTTGCTTTCTTATCAATCTCTTTACATTAGAAAAGGTTRCTTCAGTTTTGAGGTTGCTTTAACTATGCAGACTGATACTCCTCATTAGGCTGAAAACCAGCCCCATCCATTTTGAAAAGAAAAACCACACCTTTGATAAATTGATTTCAAGAGAAGTGTAGGAACCATGGAGCTGWGTTTTGCAGTATCAGCAGATGGTCAGGAGCCCTTAACTGCTTGAATAGCTGCTTTGTAATTGCAGCTGTTCAATCTGTGTAACCTTTACCTGAGCTATGCAGCGATCCCTTGCCTCYACATCTGTGCTCTGCATATTGCAAGTACTTCAGTGTGTGTCCTCTCAGCACAGGCACAAGTGAGCAGTAATTCAATCCTGGTTTGAAATTTCTCAGATTGAGCATCCATGCAGCAAATTGACACAACTCGAATCCCCCTCCATCTGTTAACTTGGTGCCTCTGTCCTGACAGGGTTGATTGTTTGCAGGACTGTGCTCTGGTCAGGTGAGGGGCAATTGAGCTGACAAAGCAGTGGTTTACCTCTGCTGACAGGGAGGTTTATTAGTCAGAATCATAATGAGCTCCACTGATGGAAAAGGACGGCAGTAAATAGCAATTTTTTGTGCTGTACCTTTCTGTTAAGAGCTATGTCAGTACTCAGTCCACATGTAAAAGAAAATTGGTTCTTTGTTTGTCTTAAAGTCACATTCTGTATCACATTTGTTGTTCAGGGGCTTTTCAGCTTTACTTACATAATGATGTTGATCACCTTTGCATTTTTTCTGGGGCATTGCAAAGTTTTACTTGCATAAAAGCATTTTATTTTTATTCAAGTGGTGCATTCAAGGGCCCTATTTTTTTTAATGTGGTGGCACTATTTTTTGTTTATGACAACAACATGTATTCTGTCAGTTTGGAGCCATGTTGGAAAGCTGTTGTAGCAATTAACATTGAAAGACAAAAAAGGGAAATATCAGTATTGTGGCTGAAAACAAGAGTTTCTCAGTTTA